AGCTCGACATTAACCCACTCTGTCACCAAGACTCATGATCCACTGTAGAAGCAAATCAAAACAACAGAATTATATCTCACCCGAGGATTAACAACAAAGTCAAAACAACAACAACAAAACTCAAAAAATAACAAATGCTAACAAAAGGGCGTGCACAGACTAAATCCTCATATACTGCTAGGGGGATTGTAAACTGGTGCAACCATTGTGGCAAATGAGACTTGATTAAAAGGTTAAAAATAGATAGCATATGACCCAGCAATCTCACTACTAGATAGATATCCTAGAGAAATAAGAGCTGTGACAAAAATGAATACATGCGTGTTCATTTACCTGTGTTCATTGCAGCACTGTTCACAATAGCAAAACAATGAAAATCCAAAATGCCCACCAACTTATGAATGGATAAGCAAACTATGATACATACACAGCAGGATACAAGTTTTAAAAAATGGTGAATTTGTGAAACATCTCATCATGGATAAACCTAGAGAATATGTTGAATGAAATTAGTCACCAAAAAAACACACATTTTATGAGACCACTATGATAAAAAGTCCAAAAAAGTTTTCTCTCTCTCTCTCTCTCACACACACACACACACACACACACACAAATTCTTTGATGGTTGGGATGGGTGGGGGAAAGAGGGTAAGTCCCTAACTAGAGGGTAAACATCTATTAACTTTGGTGAAGGGGAAGGCAATATAATGGGGAGGGTCAGCAAAAAATGATCAAGACAAAGGATGTCACTGAAGAAGCATAGGAGTTAAAGTCAGGAGAAATAAGTGCCATTATATAAGCAATTCTGCAATAACTGTAATAACAGTCATCTTAAAGTATATACATACATAGACAAGCAAACTGAACAGGTGTAGGAAGGAGAGTGGGACTGTATCAAAAAATATATATGAAAAAGTTCCTGAGATAGTTGAGGTTTATTGTGCCAACCTGGCCGATAAACGCATGTGGGATTAATTGAAGGGCGGAGGAATAAATGGCTCGGTGAGCCTCACCTTTTTAGTTCTCAGGTCTCTTACTTTCTGATGGTCAGACCAGGGTGCAGCTGCCTTAGCCAGTTCCCTGCTTTAGCTGGCAAGGCTCATTTCCTGTGAGGAGAAGCCACATGGACCTACCCCGATGTAGTCCTAGGTGCTGGAGCAGCCGTGTGGAGACCCCTGCCAGTGCTGATATGCTTACACATTCACTGACTCGGCTGCAGTCGGGGACACTGCATGTGTTTTGTGAGATGGAGGAGAACTTTGTAGATTGGTGTTGGACCTATGGGCTAATGTTGGACTCACGGGCTTGGACAGCACTTGGTTGGGATGCTTTCTTTAATGTACACGTAACCTTTATATAAAACTCTCTCTTATACATATAAGTTTCTGTGGATTTGTTTCCCTAGTTTACCCAGACTAACACAGTTCCATTAGCTTTTAATTACATTTCTCCACAGATTTTTGAAGTCTTTTCTATATATAGGTTTGATAGAAGACATTTTTACATATGTATTTAAATATGCTGCAAATATTATCTAAATACCTTAATGAAATGAATCCATGGTCTGGGAGGCCTCAAGATAGTGTCTTGGGAGAGATCAAGATCAACTGGCCCAAAGTCCACTAAGACAATATTCTACAACTGGAGTTTTAAAAGCTTGTGAGGGACCATCTAATGAACATCTATAGATTTTCCCTATCCGGAGCAAAGAAGAATGAAGAAAATCAGACATATTTTTTGTTGTTGGTTTGTTTTGCTTTTGAGCTTATTATTGTTTTTGCATATGTATCTAGATAAGATAGGCGGGATAAACAGTCCAGAGGAGAAAACAATGGAACCGAGGGCTCGAGGGGAGCTCAGGAAAAGGGGACGTGGGGGAAAGGAAAGGGGCTGCCCACAAACCCAGGGACAAGAGAACAAATGATCTAAAATCGATGGCGAGGAGGGCATAGGATGTTTAGTGGGGCTTGATCAAGTGCAATGTAGCTGAGAGGAATTACTGAAACCCAAATGAAGGTCGAATATGATAGTGGGACAAGAAGAAAGTAAAAGGAAATAGAGGAAAGAACTAGGAGGCAAAGGGCATTTATAGAGGTCTAAATACAGGCATGTACATATGTAAATATACATATATATATATAAAACAATAGGGAAATAAATCTATGCACATATGTTAAGTATTACGGTAGCAGACGGACACTGGGCCTCTACTCAAGTGCTCCCTCAACCCAAGAACACTTTGTTTTAATAACCTAGTATTCTATGATGCTCACCTTCCCGATATGATCGCTGAAGACAAAATGGGCACATAGCAAATGTGGTGAAGAAAGCTGATGGTACCCTGCTATCAAAAGATATAGCATCTTAAAGGCTTGAAGACAAACGGCCATCTAGCTGAGAAGCAACAAAGCCCACATGGAAGAAGCACACCAGCATGTGCGATCATGAGGTGTCGATGGGATCAGGTATCAGGCATAAAAGACCCAGAACAAAAAATTATATCGATGTGAATGAGGAGGAGGGCAGAGTGGAGATCCAAAGCCCATCTGTAGACAATTGGACATCCCCTCACTGAAGGGTCATAAGGGAGAGATGAGCCAGTCAGGGTGCAGTATAGCACTGATGAAACACACAAGTTTCCTTTAGTTAATGCTTCCTCCCCACCAACTATCATGGTCCCAATTCTACCTTACAAATCTGGCTAGGCCAGAGCATGTACACAGGTACAGATAAGAACTGGAAACACAGGGAATCCAGGACAGATAAAACTCCTCAGGACCAATAATGAGAGTGGCGATACCAGGAGGGTAAGGGGAGGGTGGGGGGAGAAAGGAGCTACTGATCACAATGATCGACATATAACTCCCTCCCAAGGGGACGAACAACAGAAAAATGGGTGAATGGAGGCAGCGGTGGGTGTAAGACATGAAAAAAATAGTAATTTATAAATTATCAAGGGTTCATGAGGGAGGGAAGGTGGGGAGGGAGGAAAATGAGTTGCTACCAAGGGCTCAAGTAGAAAGAAAATGTTTTGAAAATGATGATGGCAACATATGTACAAATGTGCTTAACACAATGGATGGATGGATGGATTGTGATAAGAGCTGTAAGAGCCCCTAATAAAATGATTGGGGGGGGAAAATACCCACCCCCCGCCAAAATACATGGAAACCCTTAGTGCAATGGACTAATAGACCCCCCAAAACCCTCAGTCTCCACCACCCTGAGGCATAAAGAAGTTGTTGTCTAGCTATCACTACCAGCCACTCAGAAAGGGATCACATTAAAAGGTCCTGAATAGAGTGGAACAAAAATGTAAAACAAAACTAAAAAAATCATTTAAAAAAAATGAGATTATGGTCAAGTAGAGATTCGTCACCTTTCAGATCTGAAAATGAACTCAATTACATGGCTCAATTTTCAGCCAAACAGCAGACAGGTCTAGAAGGGAACACCACCACTAGGGAAGGTACATACTCTCAGAACAAGCAACCATTCAAGATCACAACAGCAGCATCTGCCCAAGGAAAAATGGCTAGGAGGGGAGGACGAATCGAAAAGAAAAACAAAGAGTATAAATGGCATGAGTAATTTTACATTATAGGGATTGCAATCAGTGATATGAAATAAAATGTGCATCAACTGTTGAATGAAAAAACTAACTTGCTCTGTAAACTTTCACCCAATTCACAATAAAGTTTTTTTAAAAAAGAAAACTACATGAAAAACAGATTACACACAGTTCATACATTACCTCTAATTTTTTCTAAAAAATTAATAATAGTATGTATATTCAAAGTTAACAACAACAAAGAAAGTTAACATGATGATATATAATAGAAAATTAAGTGATGTTACCTCTGTGTAGTGGGACTAGGGACTATAGATATATTTTTTCTTCCTTTTCCTTGTCTGTATTTTTCAAAATTTGTAATGAATACATTCTCTTTTATACTAAGAACAAAATTTAAATATTTTATGTTCAGTATAAAATGTCTTATATTTGCCGTTTTATGTTTGGAACTGAGTTTTTACTAGCTCTTGACTTTTTTTTTTTAACTTAAAAAAAAATCTATGTACCTAGCATAATTCATCTCGGTCAAAAGACTTCCTCCTGAGAAACCATCTGTGGGTCTCTTCCCCAAAGACCTCTCCCTCAGGGTACTCCAGCCACGGCACCGGAGCCTGTCTCCCAGGTTCTGTGGGTGTGGTGACTTCCCCAGTCTAGATACTGCTGTTAGAACGGGAAGTGTGAAGCAGAACAGACTGCCCTATCCCCCACCTGGATGAAAACCCAACTGTTAAAGCAGAAACTAAGAGCTCGACAGTCCCCACCGGGCAACAGGGAATGAGTTTGTTTTCTATAAACAGACAAGAAAAAAGTTCAGGTTAAAACAGAGTCCTTAGAGGAAGGAAAATAGAAACCAGGCAGCGGGGAATGCTTCATATTCCTAAAAGCTTTTTTTCTAAGTTAACACATGGTGCCTGCTTCTCTCTAGTCACCTATTTATCACTCTCCTCCTTAGAGAAGGGAAAAAGCCCTGGCTGTTTT